TTTGACCTATGCTAAGAAAGGAAGATGTAGACCTAAAAAGACTTGGTTATAAAGTATTAGAAATGATCGTTTTTTATTAGATGCAAATGAGAATTCGACTCTTAATAGGATGCAATGAAGAAAAAAAATTTATGTAGCTGACCCCACGTAGTGGGATAAAGACTTGATGTTGTTATTGTTGTTATATTATCTTCAATGATTTTTTTCATGCTTTAGGGTTTTATTTATAGACTTTAATAGACCAAAAACAAGAAACCACATCAAATTTCTCAAAAATAATTTAAAATAGTAAGTTTCAATACATTCATGTTTAATTCTAACAGTAGAAACTCTATTATGAACTCCACTTTCATAATTACTTTAAAACAGTAAATATCCCTAAACTTTGGAGACGGTTAAATTACAAGTTTGGTGAGTCAGTCTAACTTCATATAGGTACTCGGGAGCTTGTATTGACTGTGATCAGACGACGGAGGTCGGGAGTCGGGTAGAAGCGGTTGGGAGAAGATCCACAAATGTTGGCGGCCAGGCAGAGGTCTGGCGTTGGTCCGGCGGAGGTCAACGGTGGTTCAGTCGGTGGTTGACCGATGGGAGTTCGCCTGCGATGATGCTTGTATGAAGCTCTAGATCCTTGAAGCATCAGAGCTCTCTCAATTCACAAATCAAAAGTTTTTTTTCTTATAGAGATTGGGGATCTATTTATAGGTTTTGTGAGAGTGGCATGCTCTTTAAATATGATGAAAATCCAGAGCAAATTCGCAGTGCTCCATCGGACGACCCATATTGATTACCTAGATCATAGAACATTCATTAAACACTTATTGTTTTAATGATGTTAGAATGAAGTGATCTTGGGCTTGTTGGATTCGTCTCGTCTAGTCGCTCAATTCGATTATATGCATGTCATATTTGAATATCATTTGGTCATTCAATTAATACTCTAAAGCTTCTTAATATACTTTAAGCATTTGATTTGAGCCCATTTGCGTAAGATTGGATTGATTTTAGTGTCGTTAGGTTCGCACTGTCGAGACGTTCAGCGTGATTATAAATTTGCTTAAAACAGAGTTTGCATGATCCTGAATTTAATTTTGGAAGTTCCCAATTCAAATATGCATCAAGATTCGCACCAGAATAATACAATTTTTTTGTGATGTATCAGTTATATTATCATTTGAGTTCTATTTCTCCTATTTATTGATTTACATTTACACAAAACAGGTTTTTCATATTTAGTTGTATGTGATTTATGAATCATAAGTTCTCTTGCATGAACTATAGGCATCATATCATTGTAGTTGCATAAGGAAACCCTAAATCTAAATCTAAACCAACTTGCATCAAGGACTACCAAATTTCTCATTGAGAGACAAAATATCAAAACTTTCAAAAACTTAATTGTGTAAATTGTTTCTTATGTTTCCACATGGTTTACATATTCCCTAAAAGACAAACCATGAAGTTTAATTAAACCTTTTCATCTTCTTTTGCCTTATATATTTTTTTCAGGTTCAAAAGTGTTGCGGTCAAGAATATACGCGGCGATAGAGTTGTAATTCTGCGTCTTAGCGTTGCACGGATATCCAGCTCACACACAGAGAACACAAGATTTTTTACGTGGAAAACCATGGAAATGGGAAAAACCACGGGGCCTAACCTAGTTGAAAAGATTTCACTAGAATTTGAGTTGAGTTTAGTGGCCTGACTCGTCCTTGAGGGCGATCAGATTACAGATGTCAACCGTATGTTTGAAGTTTAGTGTTAAATCTGGTATCACTTGGAAGTTAGGGCGTCAGTTAGTAGTCTGGCAATGACTTGACAGAACTCTGGCATCAGTTGATGGTATGACGGAGTTTAGGGGCTCAAGTGGTGGTCTGGCGGAGTTCGGGCCCTTAAGTGGTGGTCCAGCGAAGGTGAGGGCCTCAAGTGGTGGTCCAGCGAGAGTGAGGGCCTAAGGTGGTAGTCCGACAAAGGTGAGGACCTCAAGTAGTGGTATGGCGATAATGAGGGCCTCAAGTGGTGGTCCGACGAGGGTGAGGGCCTCGAGTGGTGGTCCGGCGAGGGTGAGGGCCTCGAGTGGTGGTCTGGCGAGGGTGAGGGCCTCAAGTGGTGGTTCGGCGAAGATGAGGGCCTCGAGTCGTGGTCCGGCAAGGGTGAGGGCCTCAAGTGGTGGCCGGGAAAAGGTGAGGGCCTCAAGTGGTGGTCTGGCGAAGGTGAGGACCTAGAGTGGTGGTCCTGCGAAGCTGAGGGCCTCAAGTGGTGGTCCGGCGAGGGTGAGGGACTTGAGTGGTGGTCGAGGAGGAGCAAGGAAGTAAGAGCGATATCTGATCTCTCTCTTTGAATCCTTAAGCTTCGAGTCTCCTTTCAAGAGAAATGAGGGATCTATTTATAGATTTTTGGAGTGGCATGACCCGTAAATAGGTGAGAGATTAAGGGTAAATGGGGAGTGGTTGGATAGACGGCCGATGTTGAATCCATTGATCATGGACCATTTGATGGACATTTGAATGTCTTAGTGATGTCGGAATTCGGTGATCTTAGGCTCGTTGGATTCGTCTCATCGAGCCGCTCGATTCGACTATAAGTATGTTATGTTTGGAAACTGTTTGGTAATCCAAATTGTTGTTTGAACCTTTCAACAGTGCTTCTAACCCTTGATTTGGACCCGTTTGGGGATTGGGTTGGATTTCGTGTTGTTAGGTTTGTATTCTCGAGACGCTCAGTTTGACTATAAGTTTGCTTAAATCGGAGTTCGGATGGTCCCAATTATAATTTTGGAAGTTTCCAACTTCATTTTGCATCGAGATTCGTGCTCGATCAAGATAATTTTTTGATGACGTATCAAAAAGGATTATCGTTTAACCAAAAGTCAAAAGAAGTTTTATAGACATCTAGGGAGTCATTTAGTGGATCCTGGCTGTCTAATGACTTCAAAACTCCTATAGATTGGAGCCTTACTCATGGAAGTATTTAACCTGGAAATAAACAAAAACTTATGTTGTTCTTTTCATTTCTGTCTCTACTTAATCCATTTCTATTCCTCTCTTCCTCTCCTTTCAGTGTCCATCATGAAAGTACTAGGGAATATAGTTCTCCTAAAAAGACAACAACATAATATTTTTATTTTTTACATAAGGAAGGTGAACAGCCATCCTTAGTAAGAGTATAAATCCAAAAGTCTTATTTTCACACAGTAGTTGCTTCAAGCCAAAGAAACTGAAGGTAAGAACAATGAAATTCTGGCCGAGTCGGAGATCAACCAGTGGCGTAGTCCAAATAATTCAAACCATGATGCAGAAGAAGAAAGGACACCTAATACATGTGCAAAGCAATCTTGATAAGGCATGTACGAATTTCACATGACCCAAATCTCATATATGTAGACAGAGAACTCGATGATAAATTAGAAAAAATATTTATGACCTGCTTATTATTTTCTAGGTACTTAATCAAAACTATGTTGCACGTACCTGTGGAGAAAAAAAAGCAAAAAAAGGGTAAGAGAAAAGAAAATTCTGGAAATAAATGCCAGTTCAGCGCCTATTGGATTTCTGGCAAATAGAAAAATTGTTTTGCGATAGATGGAATTTATTAAATTCTACTATTTTGTTGGGCATTATTCCAAATCAACATGTGCTGTAAACTTCACAAATAACTCAAATGAAATTATTACGTTTTACACATAAAATAAGTAAACGAAATCTCAAGCATATATAGATATTAAGACCTTGATTCAAAGATTGAGTTTGAAATTCATAATAAAAATCACTATCAACTTCCAACCAAACATGTTGAATTAGTTATAAAAATAATGCTACACTAACCCAATCATAACTTAAAAAAAAAAATCTGTATTGGCACACTAAGTTAGCATAAAAAAATTGGTTGCAATACACAGTCACATGTGGGCATTAAGCGTTTCGTTTGGGATGATTTTCTTATTGCTTCTTAAAGCAGCTTTCTAGCATAAAAATTTTAATTTTTTAACTAAAAAACTGCTTTAAGAAGCAACAAAAAAGCCAATCTAAACGAAGCCTACAAGTGAGGCAGCATTGTATTTTTCTGGTTCTAAAATGCAACATTTAAAAATATATTACTTGTAATCCCTTATCTAATTTGACTTCCATTCAACCAAACTATCCCTTATAATAGAACATAATCAACACATCACACTCGAGAAGCTAAATGTAAGAATTTTGTAACAGCAATCACTGTTTGCAAACAAGAACATTCAAAAGAAGACCAAATCATTAAAAAAAAAAAATTTGAAGGATATTTATGTGTGTACCACAATATGATTCTTTGTTTAGAACAAACAAAAATCAAACCCACAATGTTTAAAGTGAAATACTAAAGTCTAAAGCTATATCTTTGCTTGTAACATAACCAAATTATGAAGAACTTGGCATATCATTGAGAGCAAAACTTAACGGTTATGGTGTGTTCTTCAAAGACTTGGATTAACTATCATAAATAGAAGCGAGTGATTGTTTATTTTAAAATCGTGCAAGATTTGAGTGCATGTAAAAACCAAACTGAAACCATGTTAATTATCCGAAGAGGCAGAAGCCTAAGAGCTAATATCTATTTGATCAGCTCCGCACCAAAGACACTCACAGTTCAACAATTCCTGTTCGTGTGCCCCAATGAAAATTCTCAGCTCAAAACCCAAACAAACGAATAAAAAACTGGGTCCTGCGAGAAAATCTCCAACTTTAAAGAAATTCACAAATCAAACTAAAATGGCAAGTTCGGGACCATAGAAGTAAAACTTCCATGACAAAACATTAAAGAAACGAGGCGACTCAAACAATGTTTCCAACGAGTTAAGAAAAGGAAAACAATCGGCAAATACGATCGAAACTCACGAAATCTAGAAAAAATACAAGTAGAATAAAATGCGAAACACAGGAAAACCACTAATGGATGAACTCATAACCTTCCATTGCTCGATCCCTTCCAGAAAGGATTGCAGAAGAATGGCATGGAGAGAGTATCACCTGATAGAATGCAGCTAGTGATAATCGAACACCGTAAGCCGCTTGCCGGAGAGAGAGAATAAAAGGTGATTGCCCTCTTTTCCTTTCCTTCAACTAAAGAAATTTTATCCTCTCTGTAGTGATTGATGGCCAGATGAGGCAATCATGCTCTCGGTCTGCTTCTTTGCTACTCTTCTCCCGTACATTTCCACTCGAGAGAATACAGATGCCGCGCGCGGAAAACAGAGAAGGGTGGGTGCACGCAGAGGAGTAAAGGAAGAGGGGTCTATGATACTCGCGTTAGGTGCCACATAAAGGCAAGACGTTGGGAAGGATCCAAAGATAGCCAGCCGCTTTCTTCAGATTTTTTAATTGTAATGTTTTATCGAAGGCCGGAAACATTTAAAGACCAAAGATTAATGCATAGTGGTAAACAAAACTTGAGAAAAATAAAGAGGTAAAGTTTTAAATTAAGCATAATTAAAATTTATATTAAATATTTAAGTATATTTAAAAAAATTAAAATTAGTCAAAGTCGTCAGTTAAAAGGATGACTTATGCTCACTAGGCATTGCTAAATGAGCTAGCCGTTATTAATCGAAAAATTAATTTTTAACAGAAGTTGTCAGGTAACGGGCGATTTACGTTTATGGTGTAAATTGCTCATTGAACGGACAACTTACAACAAATAATTTTTTTAAAATAATAAAAGAAATTCCTATTAATATAAGAAATTAATATTACATTAGTGATTGTTATTATACTATTATAGAGCCATAGTGGATCATTAATTATTGTTATTATGCTATTATAGAGTCATAGCGGATTGTTACAGTGTTCATTAGTATGTTGGATGGTTAGTGTTATGCACATCAGAATCTACGCAAAAGTCATTATTGATGGATTGGATGTTGAAGTAGTTGTGATAGACATCATTTAAGAAATTTAACTTAACCTATAAAGTTGTGTTGTTTCATCATTAAGTCTCGTCAACGTCATCTTTATTATTATTATCATTATATTTATTATATTTTGGTCGGTTATTATATATATTTTTTAAATCAATTCCTTTTACTAAATAATTTTTCATTTGATTATGGCCCTTCCTAGGCTTAAGCTTTTTTTGCAAGAGTTTTGCAACTACTCCGCAATGTATTCGTCGGTTATGAATTTAATTCGAACAACTCCCACGAAACAGATGATTCAAGAGGGAAGCACATACAAAGAAAATTTGGCTATATGTACTGATGACATCTTTTAAGCAAAGGTCAAATTTAATGAAATATTTTGGTGTTTTTTGCATTTCTAGAGTAAATATGAAGATTGCATATTGTGGCACATACATAATGAAGTTATGAATGTTAAGTTGTACAGGACGAACGATGATCTTAGCGTCATGGGGTGGAGATATGTATAATAGAGGTTTATGGAACATAGTGGGCATTCGGTTCCACTGGACTTTCTCAAGGGTTATATTCATGAGATCAACGTGACAGAGCAGACTAGTTGAGGATATCATTGAAAGGTCAATGGTTGATGTAGATCACTGTATTCTTTATCACACATGTCATCATGGAGAGGATGAAATAATGTTATAATTCTATAAGAAGTATATGCACCCCCCAGAGCTAACCCATCTATCTAAATGCCCAGAAATATCATGACATCCTATAATGTGATGGCCATGCACTCTTCAACTAAGAGGTGGAAAGTGCTGGTCTACAATGACCATCTCTCTATTAAAGCAGTCAACAAATGATGGTTCATCTGTATGTACCTCATCTGGCTAACACAATCTAACCCCGCCATTTGTAATGGATCTATAAATCTTGGACAATTTATTTGCCATTCGTATATCATTAGAAGGTGTGATTCTACTTCTAGGACTGTTTCCTGCAAAGAAGAAAACAAAGAAGCAACTTACTTTAATCCTTTAATTTACAAAGACATTGAACTAAATATTAACAAAATAATAAGGTACATATCCCATCCGGATCTACTGCCCTATGCGTACCATGAGAAGCAATGATGGGGTGAAGCTGGGCTACAAGTGCTGCATGGCTAATACCCTCTCTTGATGCCTTGCCCCTTGTGTGACGCTTCTTGCATCAAGGCTGTTCAGATGGAACTTTTATTTGGTTCGGTCACCTGACGTAGCTCTACATTCGGACGCCAGTAAAATAGTGCCACGGTTCTCACTATTTACCTCGCGGCCCGACAACCCCGACCCGGAACAGAGACGAGATTGCTATGTTCACGTGTTGCTAGGTATTGCTCAGTATTTGTCAATTTTGCTCGGCAATAACGAGAAATACCATTCTGTTAAGACCAATACCGAGCAATACCAAGAAATACCGAGCAATACCGAGTTTTTCTCGGTATTGGTCTTCACATAGCGATATTTTTCATTATTGCCAAAGAACACCTAGCAATACCTAGCAATACCGAGAAATACCTAGAGCAATACCGAGCAATACGCGAACATAGCAATCCCAGGTCAAGTCGTCCGGCCGCACTGTATTGAGTAAGACCACGTGGCGACATATTATTGGCGTTCAAACGTAGAGCTATGTCAAGTCATCTGACCTTATAATTGTTCGTTCAGATGCCATCGAACCTGCAACATTATAGAGTTGTAACATAATTATTAATTAACATATTTATATTTCTATTAGTTTTACAAAATTCATAATTACAAGACAAACTACTAAGAAAAATATCTTTTATATAATTTAGAAATAGCCAATTTTTTCCTCTTAAGATATTATATGGATAATGTCAATTAAGTGTTTAATATATGATATAATTTAAAAATAAACATCATTTCACAAATTGGTAAAATCCTACACATCATGCTCACAACTACAAAAAATTTGATTTAAATTTAAGTTTGATGCTTCTAAAAATATAAAAAATGACCTGAAAAACATTTTTAACAAAAATATATTTAATTTTAGTGATTTTTTTTTTGGAAGAAATTCTAGATCACTATAACAAATCAACAAAATAAATTATTAATTTTTAGGTCACTCGAACAAAAATACTTCTAACAATATTTTGTCTTGCCAATGTACTTTTAACAAAAATGCCAAGATTTATAAAATTATTTCTAACAAAATTTCTAGTTCACTAGAATAAATCAATAACAACAAACTTCTAACAAAAATGTCGAAATTTTATTTAACCAAACTTGAACACACAAAAAAATACAAAAAATTTGAACAAATACTAAAAAAAGTAAAAAAAATCCTTCTCCTTCATTTTTCTCTTAACCTTAACTTTTCTAACTAATAAAAACGTGTTTACAACACCTATTGATACGTCATCACAAAATTAGCTTGATCAGGCACGAATCTCGAGGCAAAAGCTAGTTGGAAACTTCAAAAATTAATTCCGAGAGCGCCCGAACTCCGATTTCTCAAACTTACAGTCGAACTGAGCGTCTCGGAAATACAAACTCAACGACATCAAATTCGGCCCTATCCGAGCCCAAATGGGTCCGAATCATGGACCCGAAGCGCTGTTGGAAGGTTCAAACCGCAATTTGAGTTACCAAACGGTCTCCGATTTTAACGAGCTTATACTCGAATCAATGTCGATATTTTATTTAGCCAAAGTTGAACACACACAAAAATTGAACAAATACTAAAAAAAAAACCTTCTCCTTCGTTTTTCTCTTAACCTTAACTCTTCTAACTAACAAAAATGTGTCTACAACAACTATGTAAGTGAAAACAACAATAAAATAAATTATTTACCCACATAATTCCTCCAAGGAATTAGAAAATACAGATCGATCAGTGACGTTGGGCACGAAACAATGCCAAAGACAGTCGAGTGAGAGAGATAATCTTGAAGGATTGGGTGGGGTGGGGCTTTTATCAAAGCCAAAGTCACCAACGAGCGACTTTGCCTTGGCCAGGTTATAATGCCACGTCATCAGCATAAAAAATCCCCCCCCCCCTCCAAAAAAAATCAATTAAAAAAATGTTATTTTTTTAAATTCATTTGTTTGACTGAAGAAAATGATTAAATTCATAAAAAATGTAAAAAAAAAAAAAATCAAGTAATATGATAGTGTAAATCTTATTTTTAAGATAAGACATCTAATAGTTTAGAGTTCTCAAACGGTTATACTCTTTTTTTTATTTGAAATCTCAAATTTTGGTGGGAGAATAAAAATGTTAAAAATGCAATTATTTTTTCTGTAATTTTGTGCAATTATTTCTATAAATTTGATATGATTTTGCATTTTTATTATTTGTGATTCATGTAAATGCTTTTTTAAAGAATAAATTCCATATTTTAATGGATGCATTTTTGTTGTGTAGGGAGCATTAATAGGCTAAAATAAGTTCATCGAATCAAGCGGGAATCTAGATGCAATTTGAAGATCAAAAGACTTAAAACATCTGAATATCCAACTTAGAAATTTATGAAATCAACCCTCAATCAAGTGAGATCTGAATTCCACAAGCCTACAATAGAAATAATCCCCATGATGAGAAAAATCCACTAAGGTGAATATCATTTGATTTTGATCTCATTAAAGTATTAAGATTTCTAAGTAATAGTTAATAATTATTGGGATCAACTTTCATCATTGTCCTAAGGTGGCAACAGACTAGTGAAAGAAAAAAAGAGATTATTAGAGAGAGAGAGTTGAATTTGGGCTACTTCAGGTTTTTTTAGCTAAAGATCCAGTTCCAAAGGTTGCTTAGGTTGAGGTAAGTGACATTTTGTCTATTTCAGCCTTAAAAAAATGCAGAGATTTCTAAAATTATTTGATTTAATTTATATTTATGTAGTAAAAAAATGAGGATAATTTTACATCTGCAAAGCTTTCACAGTATAACTTTTTGTATGGTTTGGAGACTATATCTTGAATATTTATGTATTTTTCTAAAAAATTTGTATTGAGGATTTTAGAAATTTTGCTATTTTAATTAATTAGAAAATAATCATGATTTTGAAAAATAATAGTGTAGCACAATTAAAGTCTTAAAACAGAGTTCAACACAATCTTTAATAATTTGGCTATATTCTAAAACAGTGCATTTCTACTATGTATTACATTTAGTTGTCTACCATTAGAACATTTTGTGAAATTATGGAATGAGTTTATTTAGATTTTAATTATTGTAATGTAATAAATTATGTACTTAAGTGGTTGAAATATGTGATTATGAGAAAATATGGTGTGGGTGAAAGGAGTTATGTT